CCTTGTTATCTCAAGCTTTTCATGTATGATTTTCCATTTGCAAATCCATTCAGGTTATACTAATAAGACCACTTTTGTGCAAGTTTGTATTTGTCACATTTTTATGATAAATTCTAGCATTTTCTCTATTACTGATTTAAAGCTGACAGTTATCTTTGTCTTTTTGATATAATTCCACATTCAAGACATACTTGATGTTCAGAGATAGCAAAGTGTGGAGCTGGAGGAACACAGCAGGCCAGGTAGCATCAGAGGAACAGGAAAGCTGAAGTTTCTGGTCGGGACCCTTCTTCAGAAATTTTTTCCAGCATCTGCAGTTCTTGCTATCTCATACTTGATGTTCAGCTTTATTTCTCCTGTCTTTCTCACTCATAGCTTTTCCACTTTCTGTTACCAACTTTTACTGTCTTCCGATTTGGGTTATCCCCAGGTTCCTAGACCCCAGCCAAGGTAGCAAGAAGCTGAATGTTGGGTGCCCTGTCTTCACTCTCTTTGCTTTATTGTGGGCTATTTTCTCCTAGAATAAGACTAAAGGAGGGATTGCATGCGCTGGACATGGCTTGTGCTTGTAGGGCAAATGTGATGCGATGTGCTGTGTGAGTGAGTATATAGCACAGAAAGATTAGTAAGTTAGAAGGGTGGAAAAGGGGATGGTGCTGTGCATCAAAGCAAGTGATGGAAGATGTATGCAATAGTGAGATTGGTAGACCATGAACCTTGATGGGAGGTGAGTACAGTAGCAGAGTGTGAGTGTGCATGTGTGTCTCTGTGTGGTAGCAAATAGACTATGGTGGGACTTAACCTTGAGAAGTTTTGCGTGGCATTTTTGAATGGTTCTGTGGACCGTTGACACCGCTGTGCCCCAGCTGAAAACCTCAACCGGGACCAACACTGTTTGATGTCGCGGTTTCCTCTTCCAGTCCTGCATGAAGATGAAAACCCTTCGCCTCCAGGTCCCTGTTTCGAGGCAGGGTGCCAATTTTGCCTTATTTGACAAGTCCAGGGAAAATGCTATGAACCATGAAGGTCAGCTCCGGACTCCCGGAGCTGGACCTGGTGCGTAACTGCCTTTTAAATATGGCCAAGAATTCCACAGTGTCCCAACACTGACAGGTATTTCTACCTGTGGTCAGGGGAAGAATGTGACAAGTGAACTGCCACGAGGATGTAGTGGAAAGTTAGGCGAATTTGGGTAGAAGGCATGAGAAAGCCTGTTAGGCCTCATGGAGAGAAACAATCCATGTAACTCGCCAAAACTGATACTTAGCCAATTTCGGTTCAAATTCAGTCAATTAACTTTGTTTCTCTCCATAGATGCTGCCTATGCTCCTGAGTATTTCTGGCATTTTCAGTTTCTGTCATGTTAAACATTCTCTTGTCTTCCCCAGGGTGGGTCAGAATTACATGAAATTTTGTAACTAGTCCAACAGGTCTGTCCCAATGATTATGAAACCCATCACCTTATTCTTTAATTTTTTTTTCTCCCTAGTGTACTTATCCACTTTGTACTTATCTAGTTTTGACTTGAATGCCTCTTTGGCTCAGGCCTACTATTCTTCTATTAGCAATGATGAAACGTGGAGAAAAATATTAGGGCACTGCCTTGCTACAGAGTGACTGCTGCATCATGTGCCTGCATTCAGTGCAGAGAGGTGTGGTTATAGCTTGTATTAGCGAGATAACACAGCCTGGTTCAGCTTGGGAATGGGCAGATACACATAGCTCCCTAATTCAATACCATTTGGCATGATGTTTACATTCGTGTTCGACTAGCCAAGGCTAGTTGTTATGGCAAATGGGAAAAATATTGATCTGACATTTGGCCTGATTGTACGTTGTTATCCCAGAGCTTTGTGTTCTAATGAGTTGCATTGCTTTGACCTGAATTTACATCCTGTGGATAGTGAGGTGGAAAGCTCTTCAATTCTCAAGCATGAGCAAAGTGCAACTCGAATACTAAATTTACAAAAATAAATGCTCCCATGCGTGTACATAAATGCAAGCACGCATGCACACATACATACATACACCTTTTCTTCCCACATCATGCAAACTGCTGATCCCAAATCCATCAGTCACCTGAGGACACTTGATTGTCAAGAGAAAAACCAGAAATACTTATTGTCCAACAACCTGGGTTAAGACCAACATATGTCTGTGCACCCCAATTTAAAATTGTCCTGCAGGCAATTCAGTGCATATCACATTAACAGAAATACTGCTGTAGGAGCTACTCTTGCAGAGAGAGGTTAGCTTCGATCCCTGTGGGAAAGGTTTTTTAATGGTGTAAAACTGTTCCCTCTCCCCTTGATATTTAACAGCATTTTCAACTACTACAGTGGTATTTTCACAGTCCCAGAATAGCTGCTAGCTGATAATGTATGTATTCTGACCTGACTGTTTTATATGCTAGCTGATGCAATTTGCATAAAGTATGTCTGAGTCAAGTAAATCACTTGTTTATTTCCTGGAGTTAGCTTACCCAATAATACTTACTGCCTTTTATTCCAGGATCCAGTGATAATAAATGAAACAAGCTAGAGAGAGTGAGTGGGACCTGTCCCTGTTTCACTTGCTTTGGAAGGGTGTTAGAGGAATTGAGCTGATTATAATCCAATTGGACCAGACTAATTATTAAAGCTTGACACTGCTTCATTTTCCCCATGGATACATTTAGGAGGTGTTGTTTCTGTTTTCTTGAGGGAGTAGGACATTGGAAATATTTGTGTTCGCTGATGCCCAGTGTGTTTTGAGGTATTGAATAGGAATACATTGACTTGCTTTGATCAAAAGTTGGCAGCCCTGGTAATCATTTGTGGTGTCAGTTCTTCTTAACTTCATTTTATGTGCAATACGTTCTGTTTGCAAGTTTTGTGTGCATTCCAGTAGAAACATTATTTTGTTTCTGTCAGTGAAATGAACAGTCTTCAAAATAGAGACAACAAAGGGTTTATAATGTTGCGGTCCATCAAACAGAATGCCAGAGTTTCAGTCCACTTAGACCAAATAAATGGTTAGGGAGGTAATGAAATTGATGGGAAAAGTATGGAGTTTTTGTCAGCTTAAAAATAAAATGCTTTGGTCTTTCCCAATGTTCAGTTGTACAAGCTTTTGATATCTGTAATTTAACTTTGGATAGGCAATCTGACAGCACAGTCATGGGACTGAGGGCACACTAGTAAGTTAGTGGTTGAATTGATCATTCTTGTATTGTGTATTATAGTTTGCTGTATGCAGCAGTTGTGTACATAATAGTAACTGTACTTCATTAGGTATGTGATGCTTTTAAGTAAATTAAGAGTTGCAATTTATCACGAAAAACACTCTCTCATTTTTCTGTAGTGTGAGGTATGTAGCTGCGCATTGTTAATTAACATTGTAAAACCAGAACTTGAAAATATCTTCTTATCATTCCTTTTCTTTTCTTTATAGGTGAGGAGTTGGAATACGAGTATGATGAGCGTGGCTCTGGTACCTGGGTCTGTAGAGTCAGGTATAGTAGATATTATCTGGAAAAAAATTAAATGTTAAAGATACTACCTTTGTAGTTCTGACTTCACTGATAAATGTATAGAATGGCACTAGTATATGTCTGTCACTTTTGTCATTCTTTCCCCTATGGGGGCCAGACAATAGGGTATTAAACATGTATTCAATATCCAATATTTGCACTGTTCAGAATTGAAAGTTCAGAGGCTGGATAATTGTTAGACTTGTTATCCCATCTTTCTATCTTTTCAATCTTGCAAAGGTGCTAAAATTAATTCCAGTGTCCTCTATTCCATCCAGCCAAGATCAGTAAATTTTGCATTGACCAAGGATTAGAATTAAAACCTTCTTATTCAGTTATGGTTGGTTATTCATTAAGTGTTGTATAACCCTACAGCTTTCTTTATTTAAACTGAATGACTGTGATTTTGCACATTAGGCATGTTTTGAGTACAAGTAACTGGTCTTTTTAGCCCTAATTCCTGGTTTCTAATAGCTCTTCCAGTTGTTGAGATCAGTGCCAGAGTGACAATTAATTTGAGTCAGGAATTCAGAAACTGCAGGATCTATTCAGGCATTCAGATTTATTACTGTTTCTTGCCACTCTAAGAATCCATTCTTTTAATTTCGTACAGTCCTTAATCGCCTTTTTTGCTGGTTCTTGTGAAGTAATTGTAGGTAACTGCCTTTGTCTTTTATAGGCTCCCAGTGGAGGATGCTCTAGGAAGAGAACTTGCTGCAGAAGTGACGCACACTGGTAAAAAGAAAGAAGCCATGGTTCAGTGTTCATTGGAGGCTTGCAAGATACTAGATGCCAGAGGAGTTCTGCGCCTGGAAGCAGGTTTGTACGAACCAGACTACGCTTCTCCGCTCTGTTTCCAGTAAAATGATCTAAAATACATACTGTTAACAGTGGTTGTATGTCTGAATTTCAGCAAGTTACACCAGGGGTTAAAAGGGAAGTTAGTCAATAATAAAATCCATTTGTTGTCTTAACTGGTTGGTCCATCTCAAAAGTCAGCAACATTTCGGCTTCAGTTAAGACTCAATGAATTGCTGAAAGGACATTTCATAAAAGAACTGAGAAAAGATTGGAAATGAATTATATGCAAGATATTAGGACATCTGTTGTTGTGAACGTACCTAAAGGATTTTAAGCAAGCAGACTCAGTTCTTGCATTGATTGAGTAATCAAAGTTCAACATTAATGCTCAGGAACATCAAATTTTACAGTACAGATGGAGGCCATTAGACTCATTATGTCTTTGCCAGCTCTTTACATGAGCAATTCAAAAGTAGTCCCATTGCTCCTTTCTATAGCCTGTTTCTTCCCTTTTCCAAGTATGTATCAATATTTCCTTTAAAGATGCAGATGCTTCTGTTTCAATTACTCTCTGTGGCAATACATTCTATACTGCAGTAATGTTGCAGGCAGAAGCTTTCCCTAGTGCCCTTCCTCACTCACTTAGTAATCATTTTAAATTGATAATCCCTTGTCACTGACTCTCCAACCAGAAAAAATATGCCCTATTTGCTATTGACCCTTCATGATTCTTAAAATCTTTAATTAAATTTCCTCGTCCTTCTCTGTTCTGATCAAATGCTCTGAGATATCTTGAGGCTCTCTTCATCGCTGCAATTATCCTGATGATTCTTCACTCTGGACTCTCCAAAACTTGAATATTCTTTGCGTTACAAAACTTTCATAGTATACTATGGCTTGGCCAATATGTTTTACAAATTCATCATCATTTCTGTACTCTGATTGTATCCCGCTATTTATAAATCCTATGGCTTTATCAAACTGCGCTCATACTTTCAAGAAATTACAAGCTGAATCTTATGCTTTTTGGCTATGTCCAAGTTGCATTGAGTGTTTTTGGTGAATTTCTCACTGTGGGACTCATTACCTACCAATGGTGGGATGCTGTGACCGTGCAACGAGGCACTAAGTACTGAGAGAGCAAACTGGCATCCCTGAGTTGGATCTAGGTCCAGCCTGTGGGCAGGATACCTGACTCTGTGCTGAAAATGACCCTTCTGCAGCCTTTTAATGTTTATTTATGGTGTGCCCTGCAACGCAAGCCTGTGCTTCCAGAGCACAACCGTCAAGATGGTTGTGAACAGTTGGTTGGTTCCAGGTGCATGTGTTCATGGAGAAGGAGCATGTTTAGCTGGTGCCCATGGGTCATGCCTTGGAATGTCATTGCCTGGTGTACAAGGTCATTTGGAGCAAGCAGCAAACTGAATTCTCCAGTTCCTTGTCAAATTTTCTTGGCATCTATCTTGTTTGGTGAGTTTGGTAAGATGGAAAGCTGGATGTTAATGACATATATTGTCATGTTAACAAGGCTGCAAGAAATAATGATCGTCAATCGGCATCATGCCACTGCCTATGATAATCTCCCCACTCTATTTATGATAAGCATAAAAGATGGATTGGAATGATTTCAGCATCAAGACAGGCTTCGCTGCACTTGTCACCTGATCCTGTCAATGTGATCGGTCCTTCAATTTCGTTAACATTTTTCTCTTCTCTTCCTCCCTTTGGGGTCGTAGCTGACCTCAACTTGGTGCCCCTTGTAGTGATATAGACAAGGGCAGTAAATTGTTGCATGGAGCATTAAGAGCATAATTCTGCATGGTACTAATCCCAGTGTATCTGTATGGATTTAATAACACTGCTTTGTCATTTGGATAAGGCTGGCTGATACTCGCTTTTGTTAAATAGAAAACAGCGAAATTTATGCAAACAAACATTTTGCCAGGCAGTAAGTATTCTGGCAAGGTTGTCTGCCTAGGTGGTGTAATGTGACTGAGGTGTGGTCTTGGCTGCAGAATATAATTCTTCTGTACCTAAAGCTCTTGCAACAGACGCTGTTTGCTTTAAAGATGCTTTAAGTTACAATTAGTTCTCTTTATTTTTCTGCGGCCCAAGTAAATCTCCCATTGTTTACAGTGGCTTTAAATGTTGGAAGGGTTGTTTTGCACACTGCCTCTTCAGTAGTAGTGAGAGAAGCAGAACATTTTTCTTTTGGAAGGGAAAGGAGTTCAGACGAGCTGAATACATAAGTCTGGATACTGCTATCTTATGCAACTGAATTAAGGCAACTCTATTCTTTTGCTTCAGCACTTCAATCCTAAAGATAAAATTATGCCTGTATTTTTGTGGTTTTAAAGCTTCAATGCACAGGGCAGTAATTTATTCTGCTACTGTGGCAGACACAGACTATTAAACACATTTCTGTTCAACAATCTCTTTACCTGCACCATTTATTCTGGTGCCAGCACTGATGAATCTTATTTATGTCACACTTCACACCTGCCAGTGTCTCCCTTTTACACAGCTGTGACTTGAGATAAAAAAAGGACGGGTAGAAGAAAACAGAACAGAAACTCATGGGGAGATGGTGCACAGTGAAAGTGTCAGAAGACGAAATGAGCGAGTCACAGTTTGGAGAGTCTGGATGTATTAACTGGCATAGTGAGAATAAGTTGCATTCCATTGTGGGGTCATCAAGGTAAAGAAGAGTATACAAACACCACTTAAACTATACCAGAGTTACCTTGGCAGAACCAGCAACCTTGTTTATGGAAAATCTCTGGCTTTCATCTGATCGTGAGGATTATGATGGGTTGTTCATTGCTCAGGAACCTACTCATTCTTTTGGAAATTCACATAGTTTCATTCTACTTGCTATTTACCTTACCAGTATTAAAGGAGGTTCAAGGAGTGACTTTGTTTGATGTGATAATTTGCTGACATTCCTGACAGAGCTAATGCTTATTTTCTGCTGGTTCAACATAGAAAGCTAAGCACCTCCTAACTGAAATGTGAAAATGAGCCATCTGTACAACATCTGTGCTAAGGAGCAGAACATGTTCTGGTTCTGATCAACACATTGTCTGGTCTCAGGAGATTTTGGGGCAAACAAAAATATAAAAAACAGTATTATGTACTGAGAGTGTATTACCAGTAATTCCTAGCACCGTTCCCTATTAAAATCACCAAATTCGAAAAGCTGTTACCTGCGTGACCCATTTGAGACATTTTGACTGTGTAGTTAAGATCTGCAAAATGCTAGCAATTTTAAAAGCTTTTGCCTATAATTGCATTCACATTCTTCCAACAAAAGTTGAAAAGCGTTAAGAAATGGAAGTGCCTTCCTAGTTGGTCACTATCCAGACTAAATCTAAGTCGATTAAGCAATCCTTGCACGATTTTAGCCCACTGCCACACAAATCATGTTCAGCTGAGTAGTTTAACCTTGCATGTTTGTAGGATGAATTCCATATTCAGCAACTGGCTATTCTTCTGTCAATTTTTTTACATAAGTGATATACTAAGTAGGAGTCTAGAAACTTTTTTCATGTATTGTTCTATAAGTCCAAAGTGATGGATGAAACTTGCCATTATGCATTTGGCCATCAGTTTCTTGTAATAAAACACAACTATGTCACTTAGAATTGCTGATCTGAATCGTTCTGAGCAGATTCTTGGGTCCTTTACAGAGTGTTTTTTAACAAGAAAGGAGGAAATTCTTGACATTTCTCATTCTCACCCTACATGAACTGGCTAATCTTACAATTATCACAACAGCAACAATCTGCATTTACAATATTTATAATGTAGCAAAGTATTTCTGAGAACTTTGTATCTTAGTGGGAGGAAAGAGCAAGAGAGGATACTCAATAGAAATTGGCAGTAGTTTAGGAAGATGAGCATGGTGTGGACGAGACCGTAAAGCTGAGCTACATAAGGTAACGAACAAAGTTTTGAATTAGCCCGTTTGATTCAATGTATAGAAATGTCAGGAAGAAGAAATATCCATTCTGAATGGGTAAAACAGTAATAAAGCATTATCAGAACAGTCAAAATTGGTTCAAAAGAACTCTGGTTACTGCTTCAGATTCAATCAGTCTTTCTTTCTGAAGTGGTCATTGACCTTCTGTATATTTCTGGCACTGTTGTTGTTTTTTCAGATTTTCATTGTTCGTTTTTTTTCAGCTGTCTGTAAAAAGTCAAAACAAACTACTTATAAACTACCCCAGGATGAAAATAAGCAGATTAAACCTCCTACTAACGTCCATATCAGAAGGCTGTGAAAACATAATTTATGTGTTTCTTCATGTCTGGCTTTGAAACATTGCAGTGGATATCTAAGACGGTTACCTCAGAGCACAACAGGACCTTGATCAGATGGGCCGAGGAGTGGCAGACGGAGGTTAATCTAGATAAATGTGAGGAATTGCACTTTGGTAGGGTAAATCACGGCAGGACTTCTACATTTAATGGTAAGGTCCTGGGGAGTGTTACTGAACAAAGAAACCTTGGAGTGCAGGTTCATTGTTCCTTGAAAGTGGATTTGCAAGTAGACAGGGTAGTGAAGAAGGCGTTTGGAACGCTTGCCATTATTGGTCAGTGAATCGAGTATAGGAGTTGGGATGCCATGTTGAGGGTGTACATTGGTTAGCCACTTTTGGAATACTGTGTTGAAATCTCATCTCTGTGCTGTAGGAAAGATGTTGTGAAACTTGAAATCGAGTTCAGAAAAGGTTTACAATGATGTTGCCACGATTAGAGGATTTGAGCTATAGGGAGAGGCTGAATTGGCTGGGGCTACTTTCCCTGGAGAATCGGAGACTGAGAGGTGACCTTAAAGAACTTTGTGAAATCATGAGGGGCATAGATAGCGTGAGTAGACCAGGTCTTTTTCCCAGGGTGGAGGAGTCCAAAACTAGAGGGCATAAGTTTAAGGTGAGAGGTGCCAGATATAAAAGGGACCTAAGGGGCAACATTTTCATATAGAGGGTATTGGGTATATGGAATGAACTGCTAAA